TGATATTAGCCATATTGGATTGTTTTGAATTTTTTCGCCGTGACTACTAAGACCAAAATCCCCCGCGAGCATCGCGCCTTGTGACGTCATACATAACGTCTATTAGTCATTTATTGTACATGATTTTATTACATTTCATTCAGTGAAACCAAATTTAATCATCAATTGTTCCAGTCGTATCACATTAGACGAAGGTGATGACCTTACATGTGTTGGTAGAAGTGAAGGTGGAAACCCTCCAGCCAATGTAACTTGGTATAAAGATGGAAACCAACAGCTTGGTAACGCAAGTTATGGAGAAAATAGTTTAACTCTCACTAATGTGGGTAAGCAAGACATTGGAACGTACAAGTGTGTGGCTCAGAGCTACATTCTAACGGATGAAAAATCAATTGAAGTAAAAGTAACACTTAATTGTAAGTATGATTAATACTTTCAAGCATTATATGGTATAGCTAGTTTCCAAAACTAATGCCAATAACCTTAAAAAAACATACAGGTCATGCATTAAGTATACGCACGCAAAAATTTTCGCAAATTGTAGCACCTTCCCGGCATACACAAAAACTGCCAAAATTTTGACTCCCGATTTGTTTGTGTTGATACTGTAACTATAAGTTATTATCGCAAGGAAAGAGCTGTCATCATGGTAAAAAAAATTGACTGAAGATTATTTTAAATCTCCTGAAGGTAAAGTTAAAAGCTTCTGATGTAACAGAAGCTTTTAACTTTACCTTTTCCTGTGAAACACGGCAAATTACACACTGTATATATTAATCCATTTTGTTTTTAAAATAAAGCACGGGCTATAGGACAGGTGTAGTGTTGTTAAATAGAAAGTTAGAAATTGTATTATACTTACTCATGCATTATAATTATGTTTAAAAGATCAGAATATTCATAACTTCTTATTTTGTTTCATAAATAGTTCTTTAATATTTAGCCTGCGAGCAGGCTCTCTGGGTGAAAGAGAGCCTGCAAGGATCCTATAATGATTGCGTGCATGCGTCCAATATTTGGACGCAGAGCTCTGATTGGTTGATAAGTGATTCACATGAAGTGATTGACAAGCTTCCATAAACTACACTTCCCGTTTGTAAAACCGAGCAACGCAAAGCTTCGGAATTGCGGCAATGTAGAGATAAAAGTGTCATGTATTTTGTATCCTTGTTGACTTTTTACTGTAAATTAATATAGTATTCATATAAAGATGAATACTAAAAGCTTGCATGCTTTATTGTGTCCTGGTCTTGTCTGACTCGTAGGCTAAGAATAATTCTTGAGAAAGACTGAACAAATTCGCAAACCACAAACTAGGGACAAGGCATTATATCGCTTCTCTTTTATGAAAGAATATTGAGAATTATTCTGATAATATTCAGTGCATATTGTGTGTATTAAGCTTGTTTTACAATGTTGCTGACTATTTAATATTTATAAGACAGACAGTACTTATGCAGCGTTAAATGTACGGTATTAAATTTACTCGTCACTTTGTTTACAATAATTGTCAAATGCATGCATGTTTAATTCCACCTTTTATTGCAAAATTTGAACAATAAACATATTATTAAATTATGTCCAATGTCCATGGTATATCATATATATCTATGTCTCACCAAAGCTATAAATTTCAGTAAGTTATTATATTACTATATATATATATATATATATATATATATATATATATATATATATATATATATATATATATATATATATATATATATATATATATATTT